ATTTTTTCGTCCAACCGAAAAAAAATAACGCCACTGGCGAAGATAATTACGATGATTAACGCGTACGTCTTTCGCACCTGTTGCTTCTTCGATTAGAATTCATTCGAGTGTTCAAATTGATGGTACACCGATGATACTTTCTTTTTTAACAATAAAATGATTACATAGATGGGAATGCTTTACGACATCGACGGTCAGCTGTTAACACCTGGAAACTTTATTGGCAGTGATAAATGGATGTAGGGATTGTTAGCGGTTGACGGTAGATTTTTAAATAAAAATCAACGAAGACGTAAATGTCGCGTGTCAGAAGGTGAAGGTGAACGAATCGGATTCTCTATTTTACGACGTGTCGTGAGAAAACGATCGCGTTTAAGGATTCCTCTCGGAAGCCGACCTTGCACCTTGCTGCGCCTATCACCCACACGACGAGCTCTCTTTAACTCGTTCCTCGAGCTGATCGCTTTGTTTTATCGCCACGCGTGGGAGTTTACGATATCCTTGCGTTCTGAAACGGAGTAGCTGAATAATAATTAATATCGAACGTTTTCCTTAAAATCACGAGAAACGTTATGGGTTGAAAATAAAAATAAGAAGTTCAGCGACCCGTGTATTGCACCGAAGCCAACAAAGAGACCGAGAAACTTAGCTCCTGACAGAAGACACGACGCGACGCGACAAAGTGACGGTGCATCGCTACGTGCACATCACCTGTAACACCTGATACATCGTAATTACCCTTGTCATCCTTAATTGGGTTGCCCTACTCGTCGCAATGCAACTGTTCCTCGTGTCGAGCGGCCTTTTTCATCCGGTCTCGTGTTACCTGGCTAACGAACGCTCGTAAGACTCGAAAATAATCATCGCGATTTGCAAACTGTACCCAACTCTGGACGTTTTCATTATTCGTTACCCGCTTCCTTAGCTGCGAGCGATTACACTTTCTCATCGTGAACGTGACACAATTTTCAATGATTTATTTTACCCTCTGTATTCGACCACCCTGTATCCAGAAGATTAGGGTGGGAACAAGGATTATTTGTAAAGGATATACCAGTGAAATGTTACAAATTGCATGTAAACCCATAGGAGGGACATTAAAAAATACTAATACGATTACTAGTCAGTCGTTAGCAGTAGGAATTCACAGTGCAATTACGGACAAGGCTTTCATTAAGGAATTCCTTGGGTATGCTAGATACAACTTCAAAGAAACATTGCTTGAATTTCATAGCGATACAAGCAGCTATGTTGCGGCAATTCCACGTTATCACAAACTTGCAATTTTTTATTCCTAGCGCCTCTTTATTAAAAGGTAGATAGAGCTTGGACCAATTATCAGATTTGCTTTATACACAGGTATAATAGACAATGTGAAATTTAGAAAATTAAAATAATATTCTTTTTTTTTATATTTTATAGTGAGAGTAAGGTAGCCTCGCTCAGCAAACCTACCTCTTATGAGTTGTATCTGTGAACGAAAGCCCATTTACCAACAAAAGGAAGTGTGGTGGCATTAGCTGCATTAAATAATGATTGAGGAAGAAGTATTCGCAGAAAAATTTTCAAAAAACCGCGGTTAGATGAGAAAAGGAACAAAATAAAATAAAAACTAAATAAAGTTACCAACAAGTAGACTGGATGGAGGGTGCACGAGCGAATTTAGAAAATTAAAATAATATGAAGTAGAGAATTAGATTAGAATTGTGGTTCTCTTCGTGGTCCGCCGTCTCGGGGCTCTCTCCATGGTCCGCGGTTTCGCGAGCGGAGTTCAACGCGTGAAAAAGTCGGAAGATCGCGAGAGAAGAGACGCGTCGCGTCGGTTAAACTTCTTTCTTCGGGAAATTAACATTTATCGCACGCGTGCACCGTCTCGCGCATTCATTAATAACCTTTAATGCGAAACAGCCTTGACATTATGCGAGTCACGCGATAAACTTCGACTGTCACCGGAATCGAAGACAACTAACTCGTGTCTGTACATTGTCACGATGGCACACTGACAATGAATATTGGAAAAAAAGAAAAACAGCCGCGTGAGATGAAAAAATTTGACGTCTCGTCTGGTTTGGACAAAATAGTTTCTCGCCTCCTTTTCTCTTGCCAGAAATGTTGTTGTCAACCGAGAACAGCATCGATCTGGATCGTTATTGTCTTCTTTTTTTCAGTCGTCCATCTACGACGAGATTGGTTTGAGAAAATAACTCGGTGCCGATGTTATTCTCGACTCGAAGGCCGCGTACTCGTTCCTCGTGGCACAATTGCACAATTGCCAATCCGTCCGATATCTATCAGCTGGTCGTGCCTCTCTTTCTCTTCGTCCACCCCTTTTGCATCGTCAATTTTCCCATAGACATATATACGCGCCTCCGTTCGCGGTTGTTTCCTTTTTTCCTCCGCGACGCGAGTCGTTAGATCTAACGATGCCGATACCGCCGATTGTGCAACGACCGATCGGTTGGCCAGCAGCTCCGCAGGCAGATTCTTCTGGCGAACCGTTATTAAAAATCCGAGAAGAAAGGGTAAACACGAACAACATACTCCGTGGACATAGAAGGAGCGAGCAAAAAGCTATGGTATGCGAGCCGGTAAATAACCGAGCGTCAATCGGCGGCAACGGGTTAATCACTTTAAACGCGCGTCTTTAATTATCTCTTTTTTTTTTCAAATATCTTTGTCGCAGGAATTTTCTATGAGAAAATGAGTTTCTAGATTATAAAAGAAAACATTTCACGATTGAATTTAGAATGGAATGGATAGATTTGATTCTTGTTAGAATGATCTATGATCTTCGCCAGTGATCTATTGTCTTATCGCGAGATACAACAGCGACTCGAGATTATCATAATCGAATCGTGCTGCCATCTCACAGAACAGTCTTGTAGCCTCTTATCAGCGCGTACCAATGCAATTTCGAAAGTATAAATTATTCGTTTTTTTAATGACTCTTCATTCGTATAACTACATTTATCGAATAGGTATACAGGGTGAGTCGCCTAAGGCAAGCCACCTGAACAACTTCTACATTTTTGGAGGCGTTTAGGAGATTTGAAGGTCAACTTAGTTTTTCTAAATGGAATGGGGTACTTTTTTATGCATCATCCGATGCAGCTAGACATTCTTTGTAAAAAAGTACTGACTTATGTATGTCGAAAAGCTGGTAGTTTAGGAGATATTTCAGCTTAAATAATTCTAAAATTCGTACTGACATTATCGTTTATTTAGAAGTATGGTTGAACATAACGATCATTTGCATCACAACATTTTTGAAATCGATGAAGTAAGGACTGGCTATTTAAAGCATAAAGTTTACGCGATGGATTCAACTACAGTGACTGATATGAAGCAGCGTATTATTGACGAATGTGGCAAAATATCAGCCGTTATATTAAATAACGTAGGCCAGTCCTTACTTCATCGATTTAAAAAATGCTGTGATGCAAATGGTCGTTATGTTGAACCATACTTGTAAATAAACGCTAATGTCGATACAAATTTTAAAATTATTTAAATTGAAATATCTCCTAAACTACCAGCTTTTCGACATAAGGTCAGTACTTTTTTATAAAGAAAGTTTAGCTGTAAAAAAGTACCCCATTTCATTAAAAAAAACTAAGTTGACTTTCAAATCTCCTAAGCGCCTCCATCTGAAGAAAAGTTATAAACAGCTTTTGTCTGAAACATTTGTTTCTATCTCCAAAAATGTAGAAGTTATTCAAGTGGCTTGCCTTAGGCGACTCACCCTGTATATTGTAGAATATGCAATGATCAATTTTTTGATAAAAGAATCTTAACAATTCGAGTTACTAATTGTTATCTAATTAAGATTCAATCACACACTTATACTTTTTTTTATCGAGACTATTATCTTTTCATTTAAATCAACGTTTAAATGATAAATGGAAAAAGGGACTTACCTTCTTGCGATGTCGACAGCAAGACGACCCATTGCCCATGGTTTCCCGTCCAGCTGCTCAAGCACGAGAACCAAGCGCACTCGGGAACGGATCGAGGTGTCGACCTCGTCTCGAAATTTTCGCCGCACAATCGGCTGTTACGTTCGTCATCGTTGTATCGAAACCTGCTCCGAAGAAAGTTGCCGTTTATCGTCGTCCGTGGAATTTCATCCAGCTGGTCCGTTCGCTTGCGAGCGACGCAAGTGTTACGCGTATGTCTTCTTTCGACGAATATCGAAAGAAGAGGAGTTGAATTTTATCAACTGAAAATTCTCACGCACTTCCACGACCTTTTTGAATCGACACGTCCCCTCCTCCAGTCGCGCGACTGAACGAACGAACGACTGGAATAGCAACGCGAGACGGAAGTGACGGTGAAAGAACCGCAGGAAGCTGAAGAAGCCTTAGGAAGCGAGAAAGACGGACGAGTTGACAGTAATGCTTCGATAACGCGGATTACCGTCTTCAAAGGAATATAAAGTTTCGTCGAGCAACATTTCGCGGAATGGTGTCGATCGTCGATCGAATATCGGAGTCGCGGAAGAGTTTCTTCGAAATTCATTCCGAACTAACAGTAAACATCATCCTCTTCACTTCGTTTCTCCCGCCTGTTTTCGGCGCGATCGTCGACGCGCTTGCACGCGCGATAACACGTCCCGATCTCTCGATGCTGTAACTTGGGAAGCGCTAATAAGTGTCAAGAGGTTGCCGAGTCGAAAATAGAATCTGACGTGTCGAGAAGGAATGCTTTTTAATATCGTCTCGAAGAAGTTGAAGGCTCTCCATCCGCGAACGAGCAATGAAGAATATAAGAAAATATGTTAAACGGAAGAGTTGAATCGTATGAAACGTGAAAAAACAAAGCTGATCGATCGCGGTGAAGAAAATTCGCTCGATCACCACCGGGTCGGGGTTTTCCAAAAACTGCCACCGAAAATCGACGAGGAAAGTTGCTGGCCGAACACGCTCTCGCACGTGTTTACGCGTGCGCCAGCACACGGTACCAATATCCACGCGAGTCACCGCTTTATTTTCCACCGTTACATCACTGTCGTCGGCGTTTCACTGTCGTACAACGTCGACTAGTTTATCGAAACAACGATCCGCCACTAGCTTTTCATCGGCTTTTCCGTCGCGCTCCTTTTTCATCCGTCGTTCCATCAGTGTGTAACGCGATTACGTTCGTTTACCTCCGTTGGAATCGTCTCGGGTCGCGAAAGGAGAATCCTTTTTTTCATTTTCCCACACGCGACACGCACCGAGTTACTCTAAAAGTCTCGAAGATCGCGATGGCATTGTTAAATGAATTGCAAATTCGTGAAGAAGGTCGTGACGAGGATAATCCCGTTCTTCCATCGCAGAGTCACAGCACAAGAGAATAGTACTTTCATTAAATGATTGATCTTCCATTGGTCGAAGACACTGAATTCAACAGCACCCTGGAAGAATCTTGCCGCGATTTCTTTATTTTTTAAGTGCAACGTTTGTATCTTGCTCCAGAAGAAATTTTTTGTTAAATCTGCACAGAGATCACAAAGACGAACGAATGGCGAAACGCTCGAGACATAACTGACAGTCCGTGCACTTCATTCTCGCGCAGCACGTGTTGATCGTAAACACTCGCTTGCGTCAGCGCGAATCGCGGGAAAACTCGTTGTGTCAATGAAACGATGGAAAACAACGAAGATCGATACCTGAGAAACTCCCTTTTCGTCAAACAGCACGAAACAGAGAGAAGAAAAAACAGAACGATTGCGTTTCGTTGATAGTTTCTCGACGACGTTCGACACGGTGGAATTTCCACGCGGTTCACCGACGTAATGGACTCTCTACATACTCGGAACGCTTGGATACCTTCGCAAACGATGACACAATTTTACTCGTTCCACATTTTTATCTCTTGAATGCTCGGCTTCGAACGATCACGAAGATTTAATGAAGATATCGTCGATTTTTTTCACGATCCGGTATTCCAACACTTCCAACGATTCGCGCGTTAAACAAAGCACCGATGGTCACTCGTTATCGCAAAAAGTGTAGTTAGCGATAAGGAATATATTGTTGAACAACGTTGTTACATATCAATCGGTGATTCGGAAACATGAAAATTCATGACATAGAATTGTCACAGAATAATACTTATTCCACGTCAGTTCTCGGTATAGAATGTACGGTTGTCGAAGAGAACGAAGAAATTGACGAGGAACACGTGTAAATATCTCCTGGGAAGCTTCGAAACCGGCACAGAACGTGATCCGAAGAGAGGTCGAAGAAGACTGAAGAAAGCCGGCTTCCAGGCTCGACATCGTCGTTTCTTATCGTGTGTTGCCTGTAAACATTGCTTACATCACGCTCCTCGTTGGCACGCTGGCCACGTTGTTTCGAGCGCGAAACTGTTTTTTACCAGCGGACCAACCAGAATTCGGCAACTATGGTTTTCTTGGTTCTTTCATTGGTTCGCATCGCGTTTCGAAGCGATACGGTACTCTATTCGTCCAGAAGAGAATAGGGTCATCGTGCGAAAAATGACGCACAAGTTTCTATTGACGAGTACGAGTGAAATGTTTGAAAGTATGCTGAAAGAAACGGTTCCTCCTATATCCTTATTAATTATTAATTAGGAAACCTAGAGTAAGCAGGTTGAACTCCAGGTGAATGCCGAAGGCCCGTACAAAAGCAATATTTGGAATAGTCAATATTTTTTTTTGTTTTGTTTTAGCTGTTAAGATAGCGAAAAACACACCTAAAACGGTGTTGAGATTATTTCAAAATCTAGCCATAGGAATTGAAAAATCAAGAATTTTTGCACAACTTCAAAACGTGTTCATTCCAATGGTAACGTTCAGTTCCAAAAAAGGTAACAACGCAAAACGGAGTCAACTGGGAGAGTGAAGCCTCAGGCCCTACGGGCCTTCGGCAATAACACGGAAGGGGAAAAGGATAAGAGGCAACCCACGTCTAATCTATATCAGCTTCCCTTTATCATTAATCAGCATTGCAAACAGTTTCATTAGGGTTTATTATTTTCCCGGTTGTTATCTGTACTTTCTTAACAGCGTAAGTTATGGCGTCCGACAAACCGATTACAATCTCCGTGGCTGTAATTTCTCGTCGTACCGAGTGCTATTTATCGTCAATGTCCGAACTGCCAATCGGTGCTGTTTCTCGACGATTATTCGCGAACCCCCTCTTCAATTCGCCACTTGCAAAAGCTTCTCGCTTTTTGTTACCGTTATTCCACACGATTATCTTCCTTCTGATACGATGGTCTTATGTTTCATGGAAATTATAGGATTATTCAACTTTCAACTGGCAATAAATTAACGCGTTGAATGCTATGAGGGTGACCGGCACCGTAAATTACACATGTCTGAATAATTAAAAGAAAACATCAGAAAAAAGGTAATATTGTTACGGTACGAATAATGTAAAATGGCGAATAGGAAGCTTGAAATTTGAAAATTAATTATTTCTATTCTTAATAATTAAAACTTCGATACGTCCCGCTTCAATTTCGAATAGTATAGCGCGCTTTAAAAATGGTACCACCAGTGGCACCTAGAGGCAACATGTGGCAACAGCTTCAACGAGTCGATAAAATAGTATAATCTTGTCCATGGTAACACTGATTACAGATTCCTATTGGATCTCGCTCAAAAGATAAAAATTATAACCAATTTCCGTGTTGTTTCGGACCATTTGTCCTACGACATGATGGGAACCGGAGGAACTCTAAAGCATGGGACTCACCGATCATTGATTTGCACCACTGCACTAGCAACGTCTGTCGAAAGTTTGATTGGCCCACGATTGACCCACGATTGACCCATGGTTAATTTGTTGTTCTGGTGGATTAGGCAGCTCGTAGTTTAGTTCGTCAAAAAAATGCTACCCTCCACGGCCAAAGTACAATTCTGAAAGCATAAAAATAACAAAATATTAAAGGAACTCCCCTATAAAACGCTGTAAAACATTTGTAACATAATAAAGATCCAAGAATACGATTGAAAAGTACAGAAGTTTTTAAATTACGATCGATGCACAGTAGACTGCGTAATAAAATAATCTTTAAAATCATGTTTCATTGCACAAGTAGATTAAATCTAACATTGTATAATTAATAAACCTGCTTGTAAGGTAACAAATCGATTTATTCGTGCTTATAAAAGTTCCAAGCGAATCGTTTATCTCGCATAGTAATTTCATATTGCTTTTCTAATAAGTTGAACCATGAAAAGGCTGTTAATTTGGTGGTGGAATATTATTAAACAGTACTTAAGGAACTGTAATATTCATGGTATTGGATATACAGTGGACGAAAATCTTTCGTATGTAGAAAGGTAAATACGTTTTTAAAAAAAGAAATTGCGGTAACATTTTAACGCGTTTAACGGCAAATTTTCAATTCACGAATTTCTTATTTCTTTGTTAATTTATTCAGATTATTTTGGTTGATCTGTTGTGTACTAAGTTGGTACGGATGTGCAATCACGATCATTGATGTGCTAGAAGATTATCACGAGTATCATGCTGCTGTAACCGGTGAGACTACGTACCTTGATTGGAAGACTCCTTTTCCCGCTATTGCGTTTTGTATTTCTTCTACCAAAACGATTAAAAGCAAATATTTTAAAAGGTGCGTTAAAGGATTTCCTATAAAAAAAAACATTGAATGAAATTTTAAAAAACTGAAAAGTTATTTAAATATCATACAGAGTTCTTTTATATTAATGTAGATGTAAACAATTATAAAATAATTTATACCTTTCAAGGAATCCAGGAATGTTCACAAATTACTCCAATCCCAGTTTGCTTCAAGCATCAGCAGAAGAACTTTTGGATGCTTACAAAAAGGTAAAATATTATACTAAAAGTATTCAATTTATCCAGCAAAGAGGAAGAAAATTTCTTTTATTTATTGTAGACGAACATACCCTGTACGGAATTTTTAGCCGAGTGTACCTGGAACAATAAGAAGTTCAATTGTTGCAGCGAATTTCAAGTAATAAAGAAAACTGGTATCGGTCATTGTATCGCTATGAATACCTTACATGTGAAGAAGATGAATGAACCGAGTGTACGCTTCTTCGTCAATCGCACCGTAAAATACGGTGACGTTATCATTGATATTAACATAAATTCGAAAACGAAAGCGTACTTCTTCACGTCGTTTACAGTTCGTATCTTTTCTTTACAAAATTTGTGACAAGCAGATTTTACAGGAGGATTTTAGAATTCTGGAATTTTGAAACTTTAGAAACTTAGAATTTCAATATGGTGAGGGGCAGTGGCGGCTCGCGCATAGGCACTGTGGAACTGCAGCACCCCCTATTTCCACTTGATATTATCGATAACATTTAATATAATGAGTCCTTTTTTTATACTTGTACAATATATAATCCTTAAGCTGAATGTCAGTACCCAACCCCCAGTTTATGAAAAGGACACAAAAATCTTTGTGCGATTCACAGTTTCAGCGGCGTGGTGTGTGACTGTTGTGCGCATGCGCACATAGGAAGCTGCACGCGAGTCGCTCCCGCAGTGCCGATTTTTTAAAATAAAGTTTGAAAATTTTCTGGAGCAGCATCCCCACTAATTTTAGCTACAAGCCGCCACTGGTGAGGGGCCCCAATCCATTCTGGCCCCTACCTGATATCGCTAATGAATAAGCCTTTTGTTATAATAAAGTATTGAAATTTTGCAAACAACATGCTAAGGTATCGCATAATTTAGGTGCACGTCTTCAATAACCTCCAGCTACCAATGCTTACTAACATAGAGAAGGACGAGATACATATGAAGCCTGGCAAAACAACATTAGTCCAATTTATAATACAGGACACGGTCAACGAGGATGGCGTGAAGAAAATTCCAATTGATCATAGATTTTGTCGTTTCCCGGATGAAAAACAGGCTAACGGTCTGTTTGACATTTACAGCAGCGATTCATGTTATCTCGAGGTACACAGACTCTAAGCTCCATGCAAATAAGATGCTCCTTTAAACTATAATTTATATCCTAGCGAGACTGATTAATTACACGTGGCTTTAGATGATAATAGAACGGATGATAAAGTTATGTGGTTGCGTACATTTTTATTACTTTGTACCGAAAGGAGCAAGGGCTTGCAACGGAACTGAGATGCTTTGTATAATTGCGAACAAAACGGAAATCACGTCGCAGGTGGCGAAGAATGAACAATGCTATCTTAATTGCGAAGGGACATCGGTGATCTTGTACAAAAAAAAATATATATATATATCTGTTTCTATAAATTAATGTGAAAAGTTTCATAGGGTGATTTTATACTGTAGGAACGGACTGGAACCTTACGAACATAATTCTCCGGATCGTTCCTACTCAAGAATTCATTTTTCTTTACTTTCGCATCCAACAGTGAGATATCGTCGATACGTTGTCAATGACATTTTAGATGTCACAGGTAAAAATTCAGCATCAATATTCTATTTAATAGTCATTGCTGACCGACATTGCAAATTAGATATATTTGAATAACTAAAATAATAGAAAAATATCATTTTGAATAGCATAGCTATTATACTAATAACGTAAGATAATAGAAAATTGGAAATTTGAAAATTAACTACTTTTATTGTAAATAATTAGAACTATATATATCTGACAATGAAATCATGACAGTTAGCACCTTGACCATCACACTAACTAAGATATATTAAAGCATTAATTTTATTAAGCTTTCACTATTATAATATGTTTAATTATTAATTATTAATAATTAATAAAAAACGGTTCACTGTTTTCAGTTTCAGTCGGAAGTGTATTTGGTCTCTTCATGGGAGCTAGTATTTTGAGCTTTTTTGAAATACCATACTGGTTATTCTATCGCCGAGACAAACTAGCTGAAGTCAATTCTTTTTAATTTTAAAAGTCACGAACATAGATTGATTGATATCATGAGTACAGTCAATACTTTTCACTTTGAAATGCAGACGCTGCACGAGATTCTTGCTGCAATGAAAGCAAAAAGTAAACACTACAATTTTTCTACACACATGCAACGTTCTTACGTTATAACAGCTTTATCTAGGAACTATTTGTCATTAAACATGTACACGAGCAACTAGATAGTTGTAAATATATCACAGATATGATTTTACTTGACTCTTATATAAAGAGGACCGTGTGCTATGGTATTTACTTTCTCGACCATGTCAAGATCAGAAGTACAAGTTCGACTGGCACCAGAACGTCTGAACGGCGATGTACATTATGATACGAGTATTAATTGTAACCCATTGACTGTCCAAGAGGTTCAAGATCTAATTAAAAAGGCAGTAAGTGATAACGCAGAGATAAAGAAATTCTCCTTTAAATCCTACTCTGATGGAAAGCTGGGCTTTCTTGGATCCTATCAACAACTCAGCGTAGATATTAAAACCGTGAATGGAAATGAGATATTGTATTTCTTTGTTAAAATGGTACCTTATGAAGTACCATCTCAAGCGGAATACGTACTGGACAAACGTGTCTTTCTCAAAGAGAAGATCTTCTACCGCGACATAGTTCCTCAACTTTATCATGGATACAAGGGCAAAGCATGGAGTCCAACTTGTTACATAGTTAAAGAGAATCTGCTGGTCTTTGAGGATTTAAGCGTTAAGGGTTATACACTGAGGGATAAGTTATTTGACAAAGAGCTAATTGTCTCCGGTTTAACAGCCCTCGCCAGGCTACACGCGTGCTCCCTATTGGCGGAAGCTCGTCTTGGAATGTCTCTGAAGAAGATGCATCCTAGTGCTTTCGTGGAGAACGCTTTCAGTCGTACTGGTAAAACTCGAACGTGGTTCGATGTTGGTGTTAAAGCCATTGTTGCTGTGGCTGAACATCTTGGCCTTGATGGAAGTATGATACCAAAAGCTTGCGAGGAAGTGTTCCCAGCGATGGAGATGTCACCTACAAAAAAGAACGTAGTCAGTCATGGAGATCTATGGGGGAATAATCTAATGTTTAGCAACAGTGAACCTCTACAGTGTGTACTGATAGATTTCCAATTGTTGAGGTATGCTCCTCTGGCACACGACGTCACACAATTCTTGTACCTCTGCACAGAGCGTAACTTTAGAACGACCTGGGAGGAAACCATGTTAAAGTATTATTATAGTGTCTTGTGTGAGACTATGAAATCCTCGAAGACCACTGTAGAGATCCCTTCTTGGTCGGAATTGATCCAAGGAGTAGAAGAACAACGATTGGGTGCATCGATCACAGCTAATTTGTATTTTCAGACGGTGCTGATGGATAAACATTTGAGCGCAGAGATTCTCAATGATCCTGACAATTATCATGAGTTTGAATTTAAAAGCAGGAGTGACATAATACTTAAAACTATGAAAATTGATCCAATATATGATAGAAGAATAGCAGATGCTGTTAAAGAATTGGTTGAATTTAGTTTTCGATTAGATCAATTACCTAAACCCATGTAACATTAAATAAGTTTAGGTATTTTCATGTTAAAAACGAATATTTAATATAAATTGCACGGCGCTTTGTATTGTATAATATTTATATATAAATGTAGACACTGTATTTATCAAATATATATGTAATAAATAATACATAAAATAATGGTTTCCTGCATATATTCATTTAAACATATTATGAAAGAATATCTAATTTTTTTTTAATTGAATAAAAATAAGAAGAATTGGAAACTTTCGTTTTAAACGAGGTAAAATCTATTTAAATAGTTCTCATTCATACGAGTCTTGGCTAAAAAAGAATATTAATATCCGTTTTTTCCTTTATCAAAGTTCAATATCGTCTATTTCCGGAAATATGGTTGATAGGAAAGACCAATTATGATCAATGAGTTGTATTTTTGTTTCGTCTGCATCATTGTTTTCAGCAACTGGAGAAGATGGTCGTTTTACTTGTCGCATGGATTCTTCTTCGCTCTCGTCTTCTGTCTCCATTTCAAGCTGCATGTTTTCATTTCTTAAAAAAGAAAGAAGACGAAAAGGAAATTAAATATAAGAAGATGAAGAGAAGATTTTCATTTATCTAAAGAATAAAATAGTAAATAATAAAAATATGAAAAATGATAATTAATGAAAATTTCAATTCTGTTAAATTACCTGGTGTTTTTGTCTTCAATTGATTGAGTTTTCGATGCCGATGGTGTTAACAAAGAGGTAATGAAAGATGCACAAATCAACTTCATGGGTGGCAAAGTGTGGGCTGAGACACTGAGTAACTGAAACAAGTAATTAAAGTCCGCTTAATTGATTATAAAACTGTTTACTTTTTAAATTAGATACACCTGAAGTTATGGAAAGAATAACAGATAGAAGAAATGGATAGAATATGAAATGCGTTTGCTTTGGTCAAACTACTGACGCTCACGACGACCGATTAGTTAATTAACGTTAATGCTGACGCAGGCACACCCCCGAATGAAAATTTCTGCAATTCCTGCAATCTTCTACTTCAGATCTAGGTTGACGCGTCTCTTATGCGGCCTACACGAGTATTCTTCTCAGTATACACCAGTTTTCGCCAGAAATTTGCCAGAAACACGCGGTGCATCATTGAAAGAAAAACAAGAAATATTCCCAAGAAAAATCTGAGTAATTTCTTATTGAAGTAGGCTACCGTAGGGAACTCTCAGACGAGCGTTAAATATTCAATATTTTTAGTATGAAAGTTAAAGGAAGAGATAACAGTAACTCGCCTAAGAAGGAACAATATTATTATGGTAGATGCTGCGATAGAATAATGCAATCGTCATACGAGGAGAGAGAATACGATTTTATTAATAGGTAACGTAACAATCAGGACAGCTCCCGTGGGAGATAACGAGTTTGTTCCTAGCTTCCTAACAGGTTCGTCCTGACCTGGTTTTACCAGAACATTTGCAAACAATTCTGAAGCGACGTTGAAAACCATCGTTCTCCATTGTACAATGTAACGAGAACGAATAAAGGACCCGTACTGTCGAAAGTTTCGATTCATCTTCAGTTGATTGCTCCAACTTTCATTTTGTTCGTTAATCTATGCGATGGATTGAACATTGAATTAATACCTGCCCTTTGCATGATGTACTAACTTTAGCAGAACGAACATATTCAGTGGGATATTGAGAACTAGTTGAAGGAGGATTAAAGATAAATAATTAACAATATGATAAATAATTCATCAATGAAAAAGATCAAGGCAATAATAATTAAGAAGTTTTGAAGAACGTAGTTTGAAAGAAAAATATGAAGCAACAATAACAGCTTATGCAATAATCTTCCAGAAGACTATGGAATATGAAATGAAATTCAGTCAGTAAACAATTAAGTTTCAACGATTCTATGGAATTGACGCACTTTATAAAGCACGCATGAAAGCAGTGAGTAAACGGATATCCGTTTACTCTAAACGACTACGTGGATCTGTCTAATTAATTATCTTCTATGACGTCTTAAGTCCAGGCATATGACGTCACTGTGACACCTTCCAAATTAAAATCTGTGTATTTTATCCGTTGTCTTAATCGCAAGCATCTTTGAAAACAAAATGTGTCCCTCAAACTTAAATGCAACTACTCCGCAAGACCTAATTCCATATTGAATTTCTTAGGACTTTCCTGACAATTATAGTTCCATGTGCATTTTGATACACTGGTGTATCTCTACTGATACCAAAAAAACAATGTTCTTAAAGTATTACGGGTGATTGTTCACAATTAATTAAATGTTGCGTTTATGTTCTTTATAATGCCATGATTAGCAATCATGCGGCCTTAAGGACCGCCGGCTCATGATGATCCTTAATTTGCTTAGCCTCCAGACTAAGGCAGCCTCCAAATGGGGCAAGATTTAGCTTTCAGATACGCTGATGTTATCGCGTTAACAATGCGCTCGACGCTTCAAAGTGTCTACTTCATTATCACCGATAACAGGGTAAACTTTACCAATATTGATTTCGCATCAAGTCTGAGTATGCAATGAAATTTCACGACCATATTCTTGAAAATCTTTCTACGACGTTGAGGTCTTATTGTTGTGGAAAATGATCGAGGCGTGACCGTCAAGATATCACAATCAAACGGTCGGAAACATTCTATTTCTGAAACTGCTTCTAGCTGATTTTAGCTCGTGGAATAATTACGAACCCCGTTATCGTCCTGAAAGACCAGGAAAAATGTATTTACTACAAACAAGATAGCGATACGTTCCAAGTTCAACGATGTAAAAAATAGAGAAACAGAGAAACGTTTTTTTATATCGGTAACGATAAACACTAGAAGCATGAATTTTTATAATTATTTGTATGTAATTATCTGCTATATTAAATTGATGCTGATAACTGATTATAATTTCTCCCTTAACACTTCAAGTATTTATGTCAATAAAATCCTGGTGAAAATGTGAGGTCTTTACAAACAAAATTATGTAAAATTGTATTATTTTTTAAAAGCCACGTTCATCCACAAAGGATCAAAGAATATCTGATCTCTGAAATTTACAAACTTATTTCAAATAGTGTTGTAAAAATATGAGAAATTTTTGGTATTAATCTAATGGTCGGATGAGTATCGTGATGATCAGGAAAATTCTTTGAACGACCCCGGAGGTTTTTCCATGAAAGACAATGTCCCAGGTCGGAGGGACAACTGGAACGCCGTGAGAGGGTGGGAGTGCGGAGAAGTAGCTCCTATATTAAATCATGGCGAGGCCACTTCCCAAACTCAGTCCTACGTTGAACGTTGAAGCACGCAAGAAACTCTTGCCCCTTTACTCATAATCGATTTTTTGATTCCATCAAGCAACAAGTCGTCCTTCTTCGTAATTCTTTGAAACGCTTTTGGTGAACAGTGTCTATCGTGCATACATTTTTCATTTTAAATAGAAGGTACATTTAAACTTGCAATTGGAGATGTTCAAACAATAAAATACTACTGGTTCAAGTAAATTAATAAACATTTTGTGATTGACAGATTTGTTGAAGTCTCTCCTCAAAGTAGGGAATCACGGTATATCTGAGTGCGCAAGTTAAAGAAGAAAACTTGTGAATCCACAGTTTTTGGCATGAAGTTAACAGGGTGGAGTTTTGTGGCATGTATCTTGATGGTTGTCTTCTTCTTGGCAGTTGCTACGTCCGCGTATCCTGCTAGCAACCCAGAAATAGTGAGTATCTTCTTTTTGCATTTAATTCTTTCAGTGAGTTTAACTTGTCAAAGCATACATTATTAAAAATCTTCTAACATCATCCTCATACTCCTCCAAACTTGCACACATGTGTTCAGGGGTTCCATAGTATTCAATTCTTCTTTATATTAATTCTTGAAAGTCCAGATACAAGATGAGGCTCTTTCATATTTCCTTCTTAAACTGAATCTTCTATGATACTCAACCACGTGTTGAAAGTAATGCGTGGGCAACATTAGGGCTTTGACTCGTTAACTTCAGCTTCTCGTAACGAATTAGGCACGTAACAGCAGAAAGAACGATAGAAGGAAGAGAGTCTAGAAAGATGCAAACATGAGTCAGCGTGATAATTATACTCCATCGTGTCTAAGCAGTGAGAAATCAGGATGTATCTCTGGAAAAGAAGCACAACATACCTTGAAATTACTCTTGTTTTCTCAAATTTAATACTTATATCAAACTTGTTTGTTTAGATATGATTTAGAAAAAAAAGAGTTTCAAAATTAATCAGTTTGAATCCTTATCAAATAATCCTATACTTTTGACTGGTAGCAGAAATGGTAGCCACACATTCAATCAGAAAGTGTTATCGTCAGGTCGCGAGAGAGTTTGTATTGATAAAAATGGAGCAAATAGATAGGAGAAAATATAGTACACGTGCTCACCGATAAACAATGTTTTGCCTTAAATGATATAATTCGGTCATTGATATTCGATCCACATTTTTCCTCTTAGATATGTAGGTCTTGTTTATATTAAAATAATGTTAAATTGTAACCACGATTATAATAACGATCGTCCACTTTTATTTTGTTGTCTCCTACTTCCACTATAGCGTTGCATTAAATCTCTGTAGTATCGTAAACAAAACTTGCAATTACAGACATTCTTTCCGCACAATTTAATTGCAATTAATCTCAGGAGGAAAGGTCATAATCTAAAGAACAGCTTTTTGAATAAAATAAGACTAAACATAAGACGATTGTATTACATACTTTAATCTTAACATGCAATTATCTTCTGAACTATTTCTGTTTCTCCAGAAATACTTCAACACATAAATGTTGTCTAGGTGAAGGTTGCATTTATTGATCTTCCAGATTGCATTTATTGACCTTCTCTCCTCCCCAAAATTAATTATTCAATTTATTTTTATTCATATACTGCAAACGGTTCCTTAAGTTTATTAAACACAGTCAATTATTTTTTTAAGATATATAACTTGCAGGCGATCGAGAACATGAGACAGATTCCGCAATGGCATTGTCTGCGTTATAGAAAATTCGACCTGGTACGCCGCTGTAGAAATTATCGTTTAGGAAGGAAACACTGACAAATACAACATCATCGCAACACTGGATGGATGACTACAACCAACAATAAATTACCTTACTCCAAATTCCATCGACCTGCTATTCTGAAGGTTCTATTTCACGTGTTTAAATCGATTTGAAGCAAACAAAATCAAGATGTAACCAGTTATGAAGACTCTTCTAGAGATCTTATGATAATCATTTAGAAAACAATGCTATTTATGTAGATCTTAATTTAGTTTTTTATACTTTGTCATATACTTCAAGACTGTATCTCTAAGACTAACATTTATTTTCCTGTATTTATATAGATTATAAAAAAAAAAAGATGAAGATCTTTTATGGAATTAACTTAATAAAAATTGATCTGACTTAAGTTATTTATGTTACATTTAGATTTTATAATTATTTATAACTACACCGAACGAAGAGATGTATATAAATACTGTTTAATCTCATTATAAAATGAGAACATGTTTTAGAATAAAATTATTTTTTGTATCTCAAAGATACTTTCAAATGAATATCACTTACCTGTGAATTTTTTGGTCTAATGAATTATAAACAGGTAATCTATGCAAAGTATACTTGAATTTACTTACCTCGTCCACCATCCCTTTTCCTAATGCACTTAATTGTTCGTGTATAAATGGAGCAGGTGTTTCCTTGTCTATTGTAGTATCAGCTGCTATTAAATTGCTGAAGGCAGTTGCCGGCACGGATGCGTTTGTAGATATACTCTCAAGACAAATGGATACTTCAGACTCCGGTTCCAGTGTTAACAACTCCTGCGAACACATTTATAAATTTTAATGCCTCCATTAAATTATTTCATATTTATTTATTACATACTTGATTAGAATCTAAAAAGAACAACTGTGACTTTTGTTGCCATAATCCGTATGATGCGTCTCGTTTCCTTTGCAGGTGTGGAACGAAGGTAGCTCCCAAGATATAATTACCATTCTCAATAATATTTTTTCTAGTATAAACAGGTAACGACTTTTGTGGTGTAAATACATACACTGAAATAAATTAATTAATATTTATACTAAAATCTAATGCATTTTTTGAGAAGCCCTAGAAACTTACATGAATTGTCGGTTGTAAAAACGGCCATGTGAGTAGACTTTGGATCTGCTGTTAAAGTCGCTACTTTTAAAGATACACTCCACACCAGTGTTAGAGATAAGATGTTCCAAACTGCAATATGTTCGGTGGAAGCTGTTACTACAAAATGACAGGCTTCTTGTTTCCCAAATTCAATTCGCCTGTTTACGAATATGTAATTATGTCGTCGTTGTTATGATTGATATTACTGCTATTCTTTGTAAGACTTACGTTAGTGGATATTGATATTTACTACTGTAAGCAAGACTACATTTAAATGTACAGGTATCGGGTGTCCAGATTGTCAGGCTAGAACCAAAACAAATACCAACTAATGAACCATCAATCGAAAATCCAGCATCCGTTACGGGTAAATTTCTATAATCTCCTATACTATGACACTGCCAATGTTTTGTTTTTTCTAGAACAAACGTAATCTTGTAATTTAGTACTATAATTTATTTTCGAATGAGTAGAATACACATATTTGTACGTACTATAAATAGATGAAGACTCGACTAGATGCCACAATTTGAATTTTTTGTCTCTACCAGTAGTAACTGCCAATGCTCCATCTTCATTAAACATACTTGGTTGAAAATGCAGAGCATTGATACCGCCTTCGTGAGGAAGTTCAATTGAAGTGTTCAATGTAAACCTAACAAGTTATATAATTTTATTTATAATATCTGTATGCAAGAAATAGATGCTTCATACTTACAACTGTTCTTTACTGCTAAACATCCAAAACTTGAGCCTTACTTCAATACACGATACTTTATCGTTTCGTTCTTCAACGGTTGCCATCCACGTACCGTCGTGATTTAAAGCTATCTTTGTAACTTCCGTATTTACGACAATTACACTACGTTCTTGAGTTAAAAAATTTTGTGCGGTAATATTTATCTAAACATGACATGAAAGTTGACATTGATATAAAGATAATGGAGAATTATAATTCTCATATGGACTATATTTTGTACTATTACTTACATTATACAGTAAGCTTTTAGTATGGGTATTGTAAAACTGAACATGCCCGGTACGGCTATTTAACACGAGACAGTTCGTACGTGGATCAACGATAAGACCAGCAGGGAATAATTCTTTAGAAGATAAAGCTACACCCCATGTAAAATTCTGTATTACAGATGTTAATTTTCTTTGTGGATTTACAACTACAATACCTGCAATTTTTACAATACTGTTAGTTCAAATAATAGCAAATATGTTAAATCTTTGTTACAATATATTAAATAATTCGCATACCATTATCTAAAGTAGATACAGCAACATACAAATTATTTGGAGCAATAGTAAGATGTTTAATAGGTGCAGGTAACCGAGGAAGAAACGATTTTTGATGCGGATTTGCTAATACCCATTTTACTAGTACACATTCTCCACCTCCAGTATACATGTGAGTACCTGCATTTTTATATCATGAATATAATATTCTATTTAATGCAAATAATAAAACTGGTGATTTATACCTGATTTACTGAATGCTATTTCTGTAACTGGTAATGTATGCCAATGATACACAGCTGTGTAGGGTCTTGATTGGAACAAATTCTTCCATACTACAACACGGCCAGTTGAATCCCCTGTGGCAACACATTCTTCTTCTGGATGTCCAGCAATACATGTTGGTATCCTACCTGTTCTGCCTGTTTTGTGTCTGTAATTATGAAATGGATTTGTGTTTGTTTTCTTTTACTAAATTTTAAATATTGTTTCATACATTTTAATACATACAATTTATCAATAAGATTCCTTGATGGATTTAATATGTGTAAATCTACATCATGGAGAACAGCTATCAAGTTATCTCCACGATTTCCAATTATATCAACATAATATTCAGGGAAATAAATTCTGTAATAATAAAGTAAATTAACTATTAAACAGCAGAGGTGTTACCCATTTATGAAAAACAAACTTTGACTTACCCAATACATGTGGACTTTGTACAAACTCCAGTTTCTAGATCAAATAAAACTATATAAATTTCTGTTTTATTATTAGATAGATAAGTTACAAGCACCTGCCGTAACTCATTTCCTTTGTGAGTCTTATAATTTACAATGTGAAAAGTCTTTATTCTTGGTTCATCTTGAAATTTCAATTTCTGTAAAAAGATTAACAATTACAATAATATGAAAAGAAATTAATCTCTGAATATTACAATTTACTGTTGCTAGGAAATGCATTTATTGTTCATACTAATTTTTTTGTAATAATTCCACTTTGACAGCTCCAGAAATTAAGTTCTCCATTTTCTGTACAAGTAATAATTAGATTAGAATTTTCAGGATGGATAATTAATCCTGCTATCCTATGATTAGCTGGTTCTAATTCCCTTACAAAGTCTCCAGTTTGAGTACTATAGGCTCTTATAACATGTTTCCATACTATGTACAATGTTCTGTAACAATAAATATTAAACAATGAGAGTATATATACGTACAGTCTATATTTTTTATACAAAGGATAACTTTAATAAGAAGCAATATTTTATAACTTTGTCATAAGTTTCATAACATTTCAACGAAAGGAAAAAGTTATAAGATTCTGAATTAAAACTTACTCTCCATCATGAGAAAAGACTGGTCGTTGATCAATTATACTACCTCCACCTTTTCTTGTCACGACTAAATCATCTAAATCTATTATTTCAATTTTTGAAGACTGACGCCGTCTGTTCAACTTCATCTGCATTTTGTTACTTAACTTCAAAGAATTTAATTTTTCTGATATTTACAACCAATGCTAATATACTCCATATATTAATAATACCATATGATACAAAATACATGAAAGAAAAATTATATTTTGACAATTACACGTGATAAAATTAAAATAACCAAACCAAACGCTGAACACATGGTGCGTTCATTGACTACGGATCAGAAAACGAATGAACTGCGCTCTATGGAAAAAGTGAGGAACTAAATTTGTGGTCTGTTTTACCTTTTTATCATCTTTCGCGAATGAAAAGTGAACGAAATCGTAGTTCTCACTATTTTTCTAAACGAAACCTTGTACAGTAATGCTTCGAAATAAGCAAGTGGCTCGGGACCGAACAGTTGCTTATTTCGAAGCAGGTACCTATTCGGCTTGACTTTGTTCTTGAAACGGGACGATAGAAAACGCGAGAAACGAGTGAGAGATCCGAGGTAGCGGCAAATCATAAAGTGATCGGTCGAGCAGCGATGTTATTTTTTGGACAAGGATAGAATATAACATGCCCTCTCATTCTCGCACTATGCTTTATTTCGAAGCAAATATACCAGACTGAGAAAGCATTATATATATTCCATCCTTCTTCTACTAACCGATGTCACTGCTCAGTCGAGCGTGAAATTTATTACCCTAAACATCGGCTTCGCGCTTTGATGGACCTCTCACTCGTTTCTCGTACCTCTCACTTTGCGGGCGACTTCAAACAAAGAAGAGGGGATAGCGACTTGCTTATTTCGAAGCAGAGACCACTTGCTTATTTCGAAGCATTACTGTACTTACATCATCCCCTGAGTGCTCGTTTTGCTCTATCCGACCCAAAGAAAGAATCAAAGGGAGTCAAAATTGTGGCTTTTCACAAAGGCATGTCCAGTGTTATATCTGTAGTCACAGCGTATAATATAAAATATGGAATAAAAAACTAAACATATTTCTATACAATAAATTTGAATGAAACTATATAAATAATAAAAAAAAATAGCAGATACATTTATATTTATTTTACAACGTCATATAAACATACAAAATGTCTTAAGTTAAAAGGGAAAATATGGATATGGATATCTTATCGCAAACAAATCAAATAAATGATTAAATTAGAAATCGTTATTGTATAATTGTCTTAGACTCATAATATCTTTTATATATAAAAGCTTACTATAAACCCATCAATACTGTACTAGCGGTAACAAGAGTTTGCGAAGGTGCACTCGCTTGTCTCACACTCATTTCCCAAGTATCTAATAACTGAGATACAGAAAAACGACGAGGAAGCTTTGTTATACGTGCATTTAAAGCTTTTTGAACCGCACAAAGGAATGTTGTAGCATATTCATGGGGTGCCATAACACAACGCGGTGGTGTTAACGGATAATCAGCAGGAACTGTAACTGACACTGG